AATCAATAATTTTTATTGATTAAGGGGCTGGGTGAGTTATTTTTATCACTATTCGCCCTTCCCCTTCCCTTTGTCCGCAACCCCGTTCCCCTTCTCCCATCCAACCTTGCGTCATCACACTAACCTCAATACCAACCGTTAGATAAACAGACCGTACTACTACTACTACCCGCACTATACCTATTCCATTTAAGAGACAAAGGCTGTATGACAATCCTACAGACAAATATTTATTCAACTAATATCACAACCCCCTAGAAACCACTCCAACAGACTGGGATACATAACTTGTAGACACCACTCCTCGTTGAATATCTCTTGCACCCTACCTACATCGACAATTTTGTCCGCCGCCCTCGCCCCCGTCCCTAGTATGAACTCGGTTACCAACAATTTCAAAACATGCATGTTCCGAGTTCAAAACCAACCTTCACCGACACTACTATGAACTCGGCTACCAACAATTCCAAAAACATGCATGTTCCGAGTTCAAAACCAACCTTCACCGACACTACTATGAACTCGGCCCCTAACACTTCCAAAACATGCCTGTACTAACTTTGAAACCACCATCGGTGAAAACTTCACCGACCTTAGTATGGACTCTACACCTACCGATTCCAAAACATGCATGTTCCGAGTTCAAAACCAACCTTCACCGACACTAGTATGAACTCGGCTACCAACAATTCCCAAACATGCATGTAACAACTTTCCAACCTGCCTCAGTGCTAACAAAATTCCCCGACCCTAGTATGAACTCGACTGCCATCAATTCCTAAACATCCATGTACCAACTTTGTAACCTACCTCGGTGAAAACTTCACCGACCTTAGTTTAACTCTACCTAACAATTCCAATGATGCATATACGAACTTTGTAACCTGCCTCGGTGAAAACACCCCCGTCCCTAGTCTGAACTCGGTTACCAACAATTTCAAAACATGCATGCTCCGAGTTCAAAACCAACCTTCACCGACACTAGTATGAACTCGGCTACCAACAATTCCTAAACATGCATGTACCAACTTTGCAACCTGCCTCGGTGTTAACAAAAACTCCCCTGACCCTAGTATGAACTCGGTTACCAACAATTTCAAAACATACATGTTCCGAGATCAAAACCAACCTTCACCGACACTAGTATGAACTCGGCTACCATCAATTCCTAAACATACATGTGCCAACTTTGCAACCTGGCTCAGTGTTAGCAAAACTCCCCGACCCTAGTATGGACTCTACACCTACCGATTCCAAAACATGCATGTTCCGAGTTCAAAACCAACCTCGGTGAAAACTTCACCGTTCTTAGTTTAACTCTCCCTAACAATTCCAAAACATGCATGGTCTAGATTCGAACCCTGCCTCGGTGAAAACGTCACCGACTCGTGTATAAAATCTGTCCCAACCAACTCCAAACCTTCCCTGGGCACCCGAATAAAAATAACTCACCCAGCCCCTTAATCAATAAAAATTATTGATTTGTACTTTAGAGTGATTAGATTGAATGATATGTATGCTAACGTCATATCATATTTAGTTTTTACGTCATTATTTTGGTGAACTTTAAATGTAGACATTTTAAACGGTGTGTCATTTGACACGACGTACTATAACGTTGTTGTTTTTTAAAACTTAAAGTTTATAATCTTAAGCAAATTTTTACTAAGGTGATCAAAAATTAAGATGACAATGTAAGATATAGAAAAAGAAAATACATTGAGTGGTAAAAATAAAAAATTGTCCTTAGACGTAATGTATTATGTATAAGTAAACTTTCTTAAAAATTAACGAAGTTCAAGTCAAAAAGAAGTTTGATGAAAACTGTAATACTAAAGTGAACATGGGAAGGTAAGCTGCTGCAAGACTAAGATATATATTCGTCTTCCTTCTAGGTTCATTGTCTTTTTTGACGACGTACTATAACGTTGTTGATTTTTAAAACTTGAAGTTTATAATCTTAAGCAAATTTACCACCACCTTACCACCACCTTACCACCACCTTACCACCTTACCACCACCTAAGGTGATCAAAAAATTAAGATGACAATGTAAGATATAGAAAAAGAAAATACATTGAGTGGTAAAAATAAAAAAAAAAAAAAAAAAAAAAAATTGTCATTAGACGTAATGTATTATGTATAAGTAAACTTTCTTAAAAATTAAAGAAGTTCAAGTCAAAAAGACGATTGATGAAAACTGTAATACTAAAGCGAACATGGGAAGGTAATCTGCTGCAAGACTAAGATATATATTTTGTTAACCCTTGTCTTCCTAAATTATTTTTTAACTTTTTAAAGAAATTGACTGTTTAGTTAAGGATTCTGACGCGAATTTTTTCACAAGGGACGATACTCGTGTCTGTAGACAAGGCTGTTCTAATTTTAGAACAGTTGTCTTTCCTCTCGTTTCTCTATTAGGGAAGCCGTAAGGGGAAGACACGCGACACGTCTTTTAAAATGTAAACAAGCGTGCACGGGGTGCACTTAAAATAAACCCCGCTGCGACAATTGTTAAATTTATCTGGCTCAGTGTGGTCAAATGGTGGTCAGATCAAAAGAAAATCGGAACGGTCATAAAAAACTTAATTACTTTTCCAGACTTGTAAAAAACATGTCTACCCACGCATACCTACGTACCAACGCACCAAGTCGCCCTGTCGCCCATTAAAAAACACGAACCTACCGAGACTTCGTTTCGTCTCAAAACCTGACTTAACGGTGGTTGAAAGAAAATTCCGACCCTTAAATATATTTTTGTTTTCGCTGACCCTCGCTATAAGCGAATAGTTACAACCATTAATCTTTCATACATAGCAAGGGACGGTTCGCAGGACATGTGGAAACAAAATTTTTTAATTTGATCAAAGAATGACCGGGCGTACGAAATGTGAACATAGTTCATGTACAGCTGTAGTCTAATGAAAAAAACCGAGAGCCGTGACTAATTACAGCACCAGCTGTCGCCACACTTAACGCGGAGAGGGACTTAATGGCTTCGATTAATTACCTGTTGTGATCGCTTCAGTGAGCCCGCTATTAAGCAACCACGGGGAGCGCCGGGGAGGATCCCGGGCGGATCGATAAGTACAAGCTGTCACTAATAAGTAACAGCTGTGGTTAAATGGATGTTATACACAATGACACTTTCTAGTACACGCTAGTGTTAGTCTTTTATTTTAAACGGCGTACAACAAAGAAATTAAAAGCAAACTAATTAAAATGAATTTCAAACAAATAAATTATACAAAGTAATTAAATTAACCAACAAGTAAACAACAATTAAAAATAAAATTTAAAAATAATAATTTAAAAAATTTAAAAATTTAAAAAATTAGATTTTTAAAACTTGAAGTTTATAATCTTAAGCAAATTTACCACCACCACCACCACCACCACCACCACCACCACCACCACCACCCGCTTGGTAACATCTGTCGCCACACTTAACGCTGGTTTTGCGTTAATTATCATGACCCGTCAAATCGATCGGGGAAACTCGGTGAAGCATAACAAAATTTAATTAGGTGGGACATCATGCTGTGATGGCCCGTGGGTGGGATCAATATAAAACCCATTAATCACTACGAGGCGCGTGTCATGGTAACAGGTGTTCCCACACTTAACGCTGGCTTTGTGGAGAGGCACTTAGCTCTTTCAATTAATTATCATACCCCCTGCTGTGTTCGTTTCGGCGAACAATACATAAAATCGGTGAAGTATAACAAGATTTAATTAGGTGTGATGGCCCCGTGGGTGCGATCAATACATTCCCATTAAAACGCGCAGCGCCTAGAAAACTTCGCGGGCGGTCGATACGTAACAGGTGTTACATGTCTGGTTAAAGGCTGGTATACAAAGACTGTTCTAGTACACGCTCATTGTAGGGGAGAATTTAAAAACATACATACATTCAAACAAATAAACAACATTAAACAACAAAGAAAAGAAATATATCAAATAAATTAATTAAACAAAGTAATTAAAATCAAAGAAATAAAATGAATTTCAAACAAATAATCAAATTACGTAACTAGTTAATAAAATAAAATTTAAAATTTAAAAATTAAAAAAATTAAAATCCAATTACGTAACTACTCAATAAAAATTACACAATATAAACAAAGTAATTAAATTAAACAACAAGTAAACAACAAATTAAACAATTAAAAATACAATCAACGTAATTAAATTACGTAACTCGATAATAAAAATTAATTAAAATTTAAAAATTAAATTCAAACTCATTAAAAAACGCATTAAATTACGTAACTCGTTAATAAAATTAATTAAAAATTTAAAAAATTAAATTCAAACTAATTAAAAAACACATTAAAATTACGTAACAAGGTCAGTGATGACGTCACAAAGTCACTAATTACGTAACTAGGTCAATGATTACGTAACTAGGTCACTGATTACGTCACAAGGTCACCGGTGGTGACCTACTGACCTACTCCCCCTCCTGCTCACCCACCCTAGGGTGGGTGAGTATTTTACTATATGTCGTTGTTCCTGCGGCTCACCCACCCTCACCCACCTGCTCACCCAGGTGGGTGAGTATTTTACTATATCTCATTGTTCCTGCGGGTCACCCAGGCTCACCCACCTTCACCCAGGTGGGTGAGTATTTTACTATATGTCGGTGTACCTCCTGCTCCCCCAGGGAGTATTTTACTATATCTCGTTGTTCCTGCGGCTGCGGCAGGCTGCGCCTGGTGGGTGAGTATTTTGCTATATGTCATTGTTCCTGCGGCTCACCCAGGCAGGGAGTATTTTCCTATATAACCATTGCTCCTGCTCCTGCTCCTGCTCCTGCTCCCCTCACCCTGCGCCTGCGCCTGCGACCCAAAAGGGACCTAATATACTACTGACAACAAATCAAAACGAGAATGACAAACAACGGCAAAGACACTGCCAACGACAATGACAACACAAACGATAAACGTAACACCAACAACACCAACGACTACGACAACGACGACGACCACCACAGAGTACCTGATCCTCCATCAGCGACACCAAAGGGGAGATGACCAGCGTGATAGCCTTGAGGTGCTGGGCGTACAGGTAGGCGGGTAGTTGGTAACAGAGACTCTTCCCTCCTCCCGTGGAGAGTACCACAAGGGTGGATAACCCTGGAACAACATCATAAAATGGGAGTTAACTCACAAAAAATCTTGATTGCCATTTCTTCTTCTTCTTCGTTCTTAAATTTTATTGTTGGAAGGGATCCCCTCCAACACAATTAAGTATACGTGTTAACTGGTTATGCATCATTGAGACCATTGACTCCGATTTCAGCCTGCTTTTCTTTTTAGATTTGCTTCCATAGCCTTTGTCGAACCTAGAACAAACTACAAGACTGCAGTTGTTTGATTTTGGAGTTGTCTCTCCTAGAAGAGTGGCTGTCCCCAGCTAACGAGCCTCATCTGCCCGAGGGTTCGAACTCAAGACTTTTCGGTTTAGCAACCATAAGCTTTACCAATTGGACGATGCCGACCCCTCTTTTGCCCTTTCGAACCTGACGTTACATGGCGCACAAAAGAGCTTATTAGTTTCTATTCATAAAGAATAATTATAAAGGACTTTTGTAGTCGCCATTACATGTCAGGTACCCAGCACAACTGAGAGCACTCATAGACGCGCCGCATACTAGAGCGCGGATACGAACACGAGACTTTCAGGTTAGAGATCGTGCGCTCTACAACCCAACCACGTCTTCCCATATTGATTTTAAAAACCACGGTTAGATAACTGAAATGTTATCTGATAACTTATCGTCATAAAAATGTCAGTAAACCAGCAGATATTGCATGGATTGATTTCAATACAGAATATAATTCAAATAGTTACATTTCTCAACCCCAGCCACACGATAGCACATCATGACCGAACTCTCGACCCCCCCGTCCCACCCCTACACTAACCCCTAGGTAATGTGATGTCATGTAAGGCCGACCCCTCTAACCCGAAAATCAAATTTTCTTCAGATTACATAACACTAACACTTTCAATTTACAATCTCATCAAAAAAATTTCGTCTGGATTTTTTAATCGTTTTTTTTTAAATTTTCAACATGTGTGTGACAGAGTGGGTGGGGGGAGTAAGGCGAATGGAACTCTCCATCATGTGAAATAGAAAACTACTTTTGTTGAGCGCTGTTGGGAAATTGAAACTTAGTGCCGCACGCTCGAACGTCTGAAAGCTTCACTCTCAGAGGCGAGGGCGCCCGGGTGTCTTTCAGAGGCGAGGGCGCCCGGATGTCTCTCAGAGGCGAGGGCGCCCGGATGTCTCTCAGAGGCGAGGGCGCCCGGGTGTCTCTCAGAGGCGAGGGCGCCCGGGTGTCTCTCAGAGGCGAGGGCGCCCGGATGTCTCTCAGAGGCGAGGGCGCCAGGATGTCTCTCTCTTTTGTTTGTGTGTAATTTTTTCCTAGGTATATCCAAAACGACTCTCTGACCAGGGTTCACATAATACAAATTGAGAACCGCTGCTCTAAGATTTAAGACGATGACAAAACACCACGCACAGGGTGTTTTTTTTTTTTTGTTTTTTTTTTAGCTAACAGAGTAGAGCAAATACCATTTCATCTGGGCGTTGCAGCCTAGTCATACGTCAGAAAACAAGAGGAAAAATCGGAAGACATCGTTTCATGTCGGTCACTAACAATACACTACGTTGCACCGAGCTGCGGGTAGGGGGGGGGGAGATGGTGAGGATGATTGAGGGAGGGGGATTGCGGGAAAGTCAACAGAGCATAAAGCCACAACCAAACAATATTTCTTTCATCAGGAAGATGAATGGAACAACCGATGGAAGTCGTGATAAAGCACGGCCTATCAAACATGGGCGTGCGGTGTGTTGATAAATCACACACTCACCAGCAGGCATACAGAAAAAACTCACATATTTACATAACATTTTTCATACCATTTTCCATTGTAGTTTTTTAACATACACTATTTTAACTGTACTCAAAATGGGGATTCCTTCAATTGTTATACTAAAAACGTATACAATATTAATCGTTTTAACGGCACATAAGTAAGTTGAAGAAGTAAATAACAATTCCAAATGGAGACACAACAATGCACTTTGAACGTACACATGTATAATCATCAACCAACTATACTATGGTCTTGAAAAGTCTGTGTAATCATACTACACTTTTTTTTTAATCAAAAATATATATATATATATATATCAAGCGATAAAATTATAGTTACATTTTTAAAACTTAAAGATGTTTTGGAACCATCGATTACACTCATTTTCAAATTTGTGTATTGAATATGGGACGTTGAAAAGCCGTTTAGAATTATTTTATCAATTCAAATATTTTTCAAAACCCCCCTCAACCTCTCTTTGAAATTAACATGAATGGCCAGGGAGAGTAAAACAATAAAAGTCGAACAATTGTTTTCCATGATAAAAATACACAATAGTGATCTATGGTGTATAGCCTAATATTAGGCTAATATTAAATAATATAACATTCCCTATCACCACAACACCTTGACTCTGCTAATACAAATTAAAAATAAAAGTGTTTGCTAAATTACTATTATATTACTAGTAATTATTTGCTTGACTTTTTCCAGCCTTAATAAAACCGGAACTGATTTTGTACTTACTACACACATTTTCAATTTTGGTTAAAAAATATGCTTTCTGGCAACAAAAATTGTTGGAACCACATTTTGGTGTACCAATGCGCATAACTCTACTCTTGGACACCTGCATAGCTCTCTAATTTTGCTGACCTTGTAAAATCCTTGACACACTTTTCTCTTGCCCGGGTCTGAAGGAGGAAAATCCGAACACGGCCAGGCCTTGCTTCACGACGTCATCGAGATCTGTCGATAATAAATTTAAAATCATACAAATAGGCTGCGATTCCCCAACAATAAATTCTGTAATGCCTGTATTAATCAAAAAGTCTGCAACTCCATGTCTAGCATAAGTCAATACTGAAAACAAATGCAGTTCCCTGAAGATCAAAAAGTCTGCAGTTCCCTGTCAGTTGAACGTCTGCAGTTCCCTGTCAGTTAAAAAGTCTGCAGTTCCCTGTGAGTTAAAAAGTCTGCAGTTCCCTGTCAGTTGAAAAGTCTGCAGTTCCCTGTCTACCAAAAAGTCTGCAGTTCCCTTACAACCCAGAAGTTTTCAGTTCCCCACCAGGCCAATAGATTTCACAAACAGTGAATTAAAAACTCTGCAAATACTTAACAGGGACGGCGTGGTGGTATGGCAGAGCTCACAACTCCTGACCCGAAAGTCTCGAGTTCGGACTCCGAGCTCAAGTCTGTAGACCGCCCCTGAGTCTACCCAGCTAAATACCTGACTCACGCCAGGGAAACAAGAGGCTCGTGGACATAATGGTGACCACACAATCCATTTGTATGCCGAGGTCATTGACTTAGATGAAGTCTATCTCGGCACAACGGGGCAAAATGCTGCATGACCCACCAGATGCCAAAAGTATGCTAATCCCAAATAGACAACTATAATACAGTACTTCAACAAAAGTTCACCCATGACAACTAGCTTCACCAAAAAACGGCATTTCAACGAAGTATCTTCCTATCCACAAATAAATAACATGATTTTTTTAATGACGTTAATGTAAAGTAAAAAAAAACCGGGAGTGATCTCCCCTAAACTTTCTCGAATATTCTAATATAACACTACGGGGGATGGCAACTCGGGATATAGACTTCTAGACATGATTTTTAATCCATTTTAATTACTCAAATTTTTTAAAATAGAATATAATCTCGTAGAAAAAAGAAATGCACATCAAGTGAACGCTAAATAAAGATGTGCATAATAGTGCGCAATATTATTAGCACTTTATAAATTTACATGCGTTTTTTGAGAAATAGGAAATAGCGTAAATAAGTACTTCCGGTCAACGGAAATTACTCAAAATTTGACAGAAGGTAGAGAATTAGATCTTTTACTTACATATCAAATTTCATTTATCAATCTGAAATAGCACTCAAGTTATAGGCTTTTGAAAAATTCAAAGTAGAAAAAGTACCACTTCCGGTTATCGGAAATCGCTCAAAAGTTAATACGGATCTACGATTTTGATAAAATACTTATATATGAAATTTCATCAACCTAGCTGTAACGGTACTCAAGTTATCGTGTTTACACACGGACAAACACACACACACACACAGACATACGGACAAGATTGCAAAATTATGTTTTTCCGTATCAGTGGGATGTAAAACGTCGAGATTTGGAAAAATCTCGATTATTTTTTTTTGCACGATTACAAGACTTTCTCTATACTTCGTATATACGAGAAAGTAAAAATAATGCATCGTTCATCAGTGTCACGTGATTTTGAATGATGCGGGCAAAAAAATTACGTCACGAAACTATCCTACATAGTCAAATTAAGTAAAGATACTCTTTTGGGATATGAGGGTCAATAGGCCAGGTGAAGTAGAGTTAATCTGTTTCTATAACGTCGTCTACAGGGACGGGAAAGTGAGATCAGTACTGTGCCCATCAGACTTTACATTCCATAACGTGAGTCTGGTACTAATCAGATACTACCAGGTTAGCAGTCGTACGCTCTACCGCCCGACCACGCTGTACCACAATCCCACATAGAATGTAGTTGAAATAGCGAATGCGCGATACCGCAATGTTTCAGCATCCTTTCTTCACATTGCGCAACTTCAACACTGCGTGGGGAAAACAAAATCAATGCTAAGTGGTGGCTTTAAAATATGGAGATTATATTATTTTGTTATCGAATTATCAATTAGGTAATAGCGTCTTAAAGTTTTTTAAAGAGCCAATTATTGTTTCATGCTTTAAAATAATGAATACTTTTTTTTTTATTTTCACATGAGGTAAACATAATATTATAATGAATGGATTATATGCACGTAGAGAAAAGTGGGGATTTTAAAAATAAGATGCGGGTAGGTTTTATATAGTCTGTGCGGAGGGGAAAGGAAGCAAAATAAAATTATTTTTAATGTATTTATTTATTTTTTGGGGTTTGTTTTTCGTGTTGAAGGATGATAGATCACCATTAATTAAGTCCTAATCTTAATAAACAACTGCATTGGAAAGAAATTTATAGATCCAGAAAATTGGATCACAACTGATAAAGTACTTATCTTCAATAACAGCTGCGTTTAAGGGTTCTATAAATCTAGTAGAGTAAAGCATCCTATAGACCTAGCGATCCATTGGACAGATGAAGTAGAGTTCATATGTTTCTTGACCTCGGCATATGAAGGGAAGGTGTGCCATGAGTTAGGTACCTATCAGAGCTGGATAGACTCACCGACGTTCTACTGACTTGGACCCGGATTCGAACTCGACACTTTCGGGTTAGCAGCCAAGCGCTCTACCACTTAGGCCACACCGTCCCATGCTCTAGATCTAAAGACTTTCTTCTTCTTTTGCGTTCTTAATTTTTAGTGTTTGAAGAGATTCCCGGAAGAGATTTCAGCCAGCTTTTCTTTTTGGATTTGCTTCCATACCCTTTGTCCAACCAAGAACAAACTACAAGGCAGCAGTTGTTTGAATTTGGAGTTGTCTCTCCTAGAAGAGTGGCTGTCCCCAGCTAACGAGCCTCATCTACCCGAGGGTTCGAACTCGAGACTTTTCGGTGTAGCAAACATGAGGTTTACCGACTCGACCACGCCGACCCCATAAACATTTGACCGTGAAGGGCCCGCACGGTCTACTGGCCCGACATAATCAGCGAGCATTCAGTGTAAAGACCTAACAACGTTGTACTTAAGTTTCAGTATGAGAAGAAGGGGTTGAAAACGAAACACCATCGGCAAACCTCCAAGCAATACATACAGGCAGACACTTAAGTAGACCCCCCCCCCCCACCCAGCAAGAGGCTGACCAAGCAACAGCTGGTCAGTGACCTTGAGGTAGATATCAATAAGATGGCTAGCTGCTGGGATCTAATTGAGGGAATGGACCAAGACAGAGAACTCTGGGAGTCTTTGGTAGGCGGATTATACCACGGTAAAGGTGACGGGGAGTGATGGTGATGGGGATGGTGAGGATGGTGATGATGGTGGTGGTGATAAGGATGATGATGATGGGGCTTATGATGATGATGATAATGATGATGATGATGGGGATGATGATGATGATGATAATGATGATGATAATGATGATGATGGGGATGATGATGGTGGTGATGATGATGATGATGGTGGTGATGATGATTATGATGATGATGATGATGATGACTGAGTTGGTGAAAATGAGCCGTAAAACACCACAAAGAAATAATAACATTTTTGTTAAATTTGCAGTTGTTTTGGTCAATACCTTAGTATAAAACTTCGAATATCCTAAAATCGGATACATTTTATTATATACTATCACATTCCTAGTATTTCAACGTGGGTTGATCTGTATTCGACATTTCTTTGAATATCCCCCTAAGATATACAGACATGCCAATTAATACAATAAGACCACCTAATATAGCTGTAGCATTTTGTAAAGTATTAGTATAGAAAAAGTCTACTAAAAAGGAATGTATATTATAACAAATTTTAGTTTAAAACAAGTAAGACAAACTAAAAATCCAATCGGAGTAGTTCCCCTTGTATCGAAATACTGACGGACAGACGAACTTGGCCAATTATATATTAAGAGATTTTGGACTTCCTGTCTATAACGACATTTTTGGTGAGTTTATTTTTGTTAATAGCGTGTGTGTGAATTGTGTGTTTTATGCCCAGTTAGTTCGGGTTGCGTTTGGTTCCATCATTTGGTGCTGAATATAATTGGACACTTAATTTTTTTTTTCCGTACGTAAGTTTTTTTTTTTTTGGCCTGAATCAGGGTAATCCACGAGCAAAATAAAAACAAAACACGAAGGGAATCTACTTCGGGATTTCGTCAACTAGCTTTTAAATTCAACACGGCTTTTTTTCTTTTCTTTCATGAAATAAAAATGGTTTATTTTTTTATTATTCTTGTTTTCGAACAAGGGGAACTTAATGGAAAAAGTGTTGTGGATTATTCCCCTTTGTTGTGTGGAAAGAACCTGAAGTAATAATTTTGCCAAGTAAAGCTTGTCGTTCATTATTTCTGTAAAATAAAATTGCAAATAAGGAAACAGCAATGCAACAAGTAGGTAGATTTACGTGGAGTAGGTAAAGTTAATGGTTGCCAACACGAAAAGTTCCGAGTTCGAACCCCAGACAGACCAGGCTCGTTCGTTGTGTACGGAAACACATCTCGTAGCGACAACTCCAAAATCAAACAACTGCTGCCTTGTAGCTTGTTCTGGGTTGGACAAAGACTTTAGAAGCAAATCCAGAAAGAAAAGCAGGCAGAAATCGGAGTCAATAGACTATACAGCGCTTAAAATGCTGACATGACATATTTGGTTGAGGTGGGAGAAATCCCCCTTTCAATATAAAAATTAAGAATGAAAAAGAAGAAAAAAGTAAATTTACAACTACGAGAGAAAAACCGATAAACACGGTATCGCCTATTTCATAAGCTGTATCGACTATCCTATCGCAACAATTACAACGACATTTAGAAGATATAAATGATTAACCTTTAAAATAATAACTATTTTCCTCCCTACTATATAATTCTACCTACCCCCCCCCCCCACACACACACAATCCAATCATGGTCTGAGTAAGTACATACATACCTAGTAACTTGCCAACACTTTACTAGAAAAAAACAAGAGAAATAAGGGAAAGAAACTATTTAACACACCCACCTTCTCCACTTCATAAGACAAACACAAACACACACACACACACACATATATATAGTAACATTAACACACACATATAGTAACACTGACACACTCACACTCGTAAAATATTAAATCAGAAAAGATAGACACATTATCTCTCCTTACCACCCCATTAAGTAAAATTGGTGTCCTCCCCCCCCCCCCCCCCCCACCACCCTACCCACCGCAATAAGTCAACTTCCAAAAAGTAGACTTCCTGTACTTCCCACCCCATTAAATAAAATAAGCTCCCCACTCCATCAAGTAAAATTATTGATTCCCCCCCCCCCCTCTACTCACCTCATCAAGTAAATTTATTAACTCAACCCCCCCCCCCCCCTCCCACCACAATAAGTCAACTTCCATAAAGTAGAATCCTTGTCCTCCCACCACATTAAATAAAATTTGCCCCCCCCCCACCCCATCTAGTAAAATTTTTGATCTCCCCCCCCCCATCAAGTAAAATTCTAGCACCCCCCCCCCCCCACACACACACACACCTCCATCAAGTAAAATTAGCGTCCACCCACCCTGTCAAGCCAACAAGCTAGGGGATATAACCGGATATTAGTTTAGATAGATGGGTCTGCACTGCTCACAAGGGTTAACGTGGGCCGCCACTGAAATCATGTTTTAAGTGCTCCTTTATCGATCTCCAAACTTCAAAAGTCAAACTCATTTTGATTGGTTTTGTTTTTCAATCTGACGCTCAAACTAAATTAAAGTATGGGTCATGAAGAACATTGTGAATACATTTACAAATAAAATGAACAGCAGAGAAGTTTCCTTTACGGGCGGCCAAAAACATTGATTGAAAATAGAGCAATAAAAATTATCGACATGTGAAGCGTCATTTAAATGAAGTAAGTAGTAAGTTCCGATAAAAACAAATTAAATACACCTACTATATATATATATATATATATATATATATATATATATATATATATATATATATATATATATATATATACATATATACTTTTTAAACTTGAGTTCATCTGCTTCAGAGACCCCGGAATATGAAGGGATTTATTTCACTAACGTAAGTTAGGTACCCATGAGAAATGGGATTCGAACTCGACAATCTCCGTTGAGCAGTCTAGCTCTCTATAATTCAAAGATAAACTGAGTATAATTTGCAGAGTTACTGACTAAATTAATGCTAGTTAATATTCTATGAGGCGAATTTTATGTTTACCATTTACTCTTTTGTAGAACATAGAGTTTCAATTGCTTTACTCTACCTGCTATAAAAAAATTATTCTGCATATTCTATTTTTATTTTTTTAATTCGCTATCGTGAGGCTTCTTCAATATGTGAAATCTCATCCTAAGGATGGTATTACATGTGGTATTACAGGGGGGCGATGTCTAAAATTAGAAAAGCTAGTTAGGGAGAAGACGGGTAGTTCAATCGCATTAGCACGCCAATCTATATATATAATTCTCTTCTTGGAGACCCTAGAAAACACCAAGCTGTAAGCGCGCTCCCTACCACCCCCACCCCTAAATGGTCTGGTGAGCTGTGGTTCACGCTAAATGTTTACAATCCGGGTTTAGTGACGGCTATTAGGGGCAGATAATTTAGTTGGAAACAATTTTAAACATAGGGGGGGGGGGGGTTACTAAGAGGAGGTTGCTTTCACGGGGGGGGGGAGGAGAGGGTAGGGGGAAAGGAGGGGGGGGGTTATCGTCCTTAACTACCTACTGATAGTGTTTTAAAGCAAATATTTTCAGTGGCAGCATTGGAACTGTCGAATTCACAAATTATGAATTACTGAAAAGTAGACTATAGAACAACTAAATAGCGGCGTATGATACGCCTCGGGTCGGCTCGTATATAATATAACACGTAATTATAATATACTACATTCTAAAAGAGAATATGGGGGAGGTGGGGGTTGAACTCCTGAGCCATTTTCGTATTGTTTAGTTTGATAACTGATTGTGTTGTTTTTTTTTTTATATATGTTAGGTTTTCTTTCTTCATTTTTAAGAAAATCATTTGTGAAAATGTCGACTTTGAATAAAACCCGTTTTCAATTACATTTTTCGTTTCCCATTAAATTTGAGGTTCAGGTGCGGATGTTGGTTTTGGTTTTGGTTAAGAGAAAAAGAAAACGTTGCACTATCAACCTAGTGCCCGTTGTATTTTTCCCATCAACGGGCCATTTATCTAGTAAATAAGATTTTGACTAACACTTGGCCTAGTGCAGACCGCACTATAAATTCATAAACCGAGGTAAAAAGAAACCACATATGAACGCTACTTTACCTGCCCAATGGCTAAGGGTCTAAAGTCTAAGAGGAACTTTACTACTACCACTGTGAACCTCACAGCTAAATAAAATACTTTGTTTCACGGTTTTAGTTTCGTTTTTTTTTAAATTATATTAGTTTCCCCTATTGTATTTTCATTGCACTGGCCTCTTATTTTCGTTTAAAGTTATCAAAGGTTGAGGTTTTAGTTAAACAGACATCCCGCACACTGAGGCTTGTTATATGGAAATGGCAAGACAGTGGACGGCCAATGGCAAGAGAGTGGACGGCCAATGGCAAGAGAGTGGACGGCCAACAGCAAGAGAGTGGACGGCCCGTGGAAAGACAATGGACGGCCAATGGCAAGAGAGTGGATAGCCAATGGCAAGAGAGTAGACGGCCAGTGGAAAGACAATGGACGGCCAATGGTAAGAGAGTGGATAGCCAACGGCAAGAGAGTGGACGGCCAGTGGAAAGACAATGGACGGCCAATGGCAAGAGAATGGATAGCCAACGGCAAGAGAGTGGACGGCCCGTGGAAAGACAATGGACGGCCAATGGCAAGAGAGTGGATAGCCAATGGCAAGAGAGTAGACGGCCAGTGGAAAGACAATGGACGGCCAATGGCAAGAGAGTGGATAGCCAACGGCAAGAGAGTGGACGGCCCGTGGAAAGACAATGGACGGCCAATGGCAAGAGAGTGGATAGCCAACGGCAAGAGAGTAGACGGCCCGTGGAAAGACAATGGACGGCCAATGGCAAGAGAGTGGATAGCCAATGGCAAGAGAGTAGACGGCCAGTGGAAAGACAATGGACGGCCAATGGCAAGAGAGTGGATAGCCAATGGCAAGAGAGTAGACGGCCAGTGGAAAGACAATGGACGGCCAATGGCAAGAGAGTGGATAGCCAATGGCAAGAGAGTAGACGGCCAGTGGAAAGACAATGGACGGCCAATGGCAAGAGAGTGGATAGCCAACGGCAAGAGAGTAGACGGCCAGTGGAAAGACAATGGACGGCCAATGGCAAGAGAGTGGATAGCCAACGGCAAGAGAGTAGACGGCCAGTGGAAAGACAATGGACGGCCAATGGCAAGAGAGTGGATAGCCAACGGCAAGAGAGTAGACGGCCAGTGGAAAGACAATGGACGGCCAACGGCAAGAGAGTGGACGACCCCTGGAAAACAATGGAAGGCTTATACCAAGACAATGGACGGCCCAGGTAAAGACAGTGGATGGCTTATGGAAAGAAGGTGGACGGTCCAGGGAAAAAGTAGACGACTATTGGTAAGACAGTGGAGGGCTCAGAACCCAACTGCCAAATAATGCCGGGTACCAATTAGATCCGATGGTTAGACAGATAGTGGTTGTGTGAGACAGACAGTTCGAATTTAAATAAATAAGACCCCCCCCCCCCCCACACACACACCAACCACCATCACCACTGGGTGATGCAAAGCAACGAACAGAAGTTGGCCAGTCAGAATGCAAGGGAGATAACCGAGAAAAAGACGATTTTAACACCTAAAATCCCACTTATTTCCCTTGGTATAGAAACGCCCAACTGAGTTTCAAAAGATGGATACTATTAATATTTTGGTCAAATTGGCGAACTTTCCTGTACGAGTGTGTGAAAACTTCTACTTCTACGTGTATGTGTTGAAATCACTGACATAGTGTGTAATTGTGTATGCGCAAAAATTGATGTATTACTCTCCTTGAGTATATGAAAGGTCAGGGACATTTACCCTCAACCCCATCTCACCGGGTCATTATCCAAGCCATTAAGCATCAGACTAATTTCTCCACTGTCAATCCCCCCCCTCCTCCGAAAAACAACCCTAATTCAAACTGGCCTTTGGTATAAATCTAACCGTACCGCTAATCTTAGCTCAAGTATTACCTTTGAGTTAGAATAGATTTAATGTTAAGATAAGTTCAGGGTAAATTTTTAATCGAAAGTAGGGTGGCATACGGATGGGATGAAATATACAGGTGGGTAATTCCGAGAGGATAATCAATAGGGGTGGGGGGGGGGGTAGTTTCCTGCTACCTAAAATGGTTGACTGATTCTACCTCTTATGTTGTGCATGTGTATGTACACGTATGTTATTGTGTTGGAGATTACGAACATGGTCCATAGCATCAAGTGAAGTAGAGTTCACATGTTTCTGTGACCTCGGCATGTGAAGGGATAGTGTGGTCAGCGCTAAGCCCAGGTGTCTTTAACTTATCCTAACAAGAGTCAGGTATCCATCAGGGCCGAATGAACTCAGAGACATTCTATAAACGTGAACGAGGATTCGAACTTGAATGAGGATTCGAACTCGAGTCTTTCGGGTTACCAGCCGTAAGGTCTGCCATTCGACCACGCCGTCCCATTTAATGTACATTACGTAACTTTTTTCTTTATAAAAAATCACACTGCTCTTACCTTCCACGCACCCTGCCAGACAGGGCGCGGGGGTGGGCGCGGCGCCCCTGTCCCACCTCTCCCGGACAATGCTGGCCTCGATGTCCGTGATGTCATCAGCGTCCTTTGGCGTTTCCATGGTAACTGGTGCCACTGTGGGAGAGATGGTAAGTTTATGATGAAAAAAAAACTAAATACATTTACAACGATTAGCTTTTAAACGCACGAAAAAAAAAACATTTTTCGTTAGTAAAAAGCATTGGTCGGCAGGGCCGGCGCTACCTATAAGGCGAACTAGGCGGTCGCCTAGGGCGCCATCCATAAGGGGGCGCAAAATGTTTAATCGCTATTGTCAAAAAGTACCTAATGATTAATAACTTTTATAAAGGAGTAGCGATCTGTTGGTAGAACCCAGGACGAACTATCAATTTTGCACCCCCACCCCAAAATTAGGTCTCTATAGGTCTATATTTATTCGCGATGGTGAAAATGGAACTCCATATCCGTAATTTGGAAAGGTCGAGGCGCTTTTTACCAGTCAATTTGCCATTTAATTTGGTGTCACATAATTGATGTAGAACAGGGGTCTCCAAACTACGGCCCGCGGGCCGATGCGACCCGCGAAGTCCTCTCATCCGGCCCGCGGAGATCTTTTTGTCCAAGGAAAAATCGTTTCTTGGTGATAGCTGAGGAACGTTGCCCAGAAAAATCAAAGACATGCCTGGAAGAAACTGGCCCCCGAACTGAAACTTGATAGTTAGTGCGGCCCTCGGACTTAAAAGTTTGGAGACCCCTGAGTAGAAAACGATTAAACTAGATCTTTATTTAAATTTCGCACATTTAAAACGGTTATTTAATTTTAATAGGGCTGGTAAGTCTCTTTTTCTCTGACTTTAAATTAGAAATCTGTCCTGGTGTATAGAGTTTTGTAATGACGGGGTGTTCAAAGTATTGCACTTGTTTGGTAAGTTTTGATGAATTGTTTAGGTTTGGGAGTAACGGCCGGAAGGCTATGCTGATATGGTTACTTAGGTATAAAAGTATCGAAGTGTTAAAGTGTCATAATTTTTATTAGGCTGTTTTGTAGTTGAAGGTCTAGTGGAATCTGATTGGTAATAGAGAAACGATAATGCAGGTGATGAAGTATCGTAGTTCTAGAGATTTGGAGTATTGATTCTTGTGGTATTAACGTATCGAATGCTGTTAAAGTGTAGTAGTAGGTCCAGTGAAATCGTTGTTGATTGGGAGTACTGTTTGTAGAGCTTGGTTGTGTTGTGGGGTGTAGTAGAGTATATCGAGTTCATCCTAAGTTAGATGATTTCAATTCAGTAGGGAACAAACTACAAAGAAAGGTAATTCTTTCTCTAGTTGAAAAATATTTAGTTGTTTTTTTTTTTGGAATTCTATATTACCACTCTTAAAGTATTAATAGATCTACATAATATTAAATAGGGTGGAATTTTATAACAAACCGTAAACTTTGTTGTTGTTTTTATCAAATTATATTTTTTTTTTATAATTAATCAACAATTATAGCAACGTCTGAAACAGTTACCCGTGTTTGATCTTTTGAAAGGCGTCCCTTTATTTAAGAAGGGGATCCAAAATTTAGCCAAAACTAATTGTGAAAACCTAACAATGTGAAAAGAGTGTCATCGAAATTGAATGGAAGTATGTTGTAATAACGCTATCGCTTATAGACTTTCAAAGAAAACCTACAGTAAAGTATTCAATAAGTAAAATATATTGTTTTTCACAAAGTTACATAGCTAATATAAAAGATTTTAATATAATTATTACGTAATGGAAATTTAGTGCGTTTTATTGTGAATTTTAAGCATGTCAAAGTTACACTTGGTTAATTTAGCTATTCTTGTGAAAGTTATTTCCCCTTGAATAAAATTTTGGTATTTGGATTTTTCAAATGGGAGATAATTCGTTGCTTAACATTCATTTCAAATTTCTGCACCTTAGGTTGATCGCTTATATATAAATACAACTTCAAATTATTATTTGCTATTGTAAAAATTATATAGAGCTTAAGTTCTAAACAAAATAGTTTAGTAGGTTTTTTTTTTTAGCATTACCAAGTTGAAAAACAAATACATCTATATTCAGTAGCCCGTTATAGATTGCAATACTTAAAGTTAGTAAACATACAGTCGTAAAATTACTAATTAATTGTCTTTTCATATTTTTCTCCACCCTCTCCTAAAAGATTCATATATAAACAATTTTAGGCTAGAATCTATATTATTTATAACCTTTTATTTTTCATAAACCAAAAAAAATCGTTACATAAATCACACAATATAGACATTTGACAAATATAACTAAAGACAGTCAAGCTTAAAACAGGTAAGTTCCGTTTTGGAACTCACCTTGGGAGGACTGCAGGGTGCTCAACACTACAAGAACATTTTTATTTGATTCAGTGTTTTTTCCAAACTTTTTTTCTCCAAGGAGGGAAGAGAAGCACTTAAAATTTTCTAAGAGGGGAGGGAGAGGGGCTATGTCGTAATGTACAAAGTAGACTCGTGCACTTAGCAACAATTTCAATAGAATGTGATTACCCTTGCAAACTGGAATTAAGACGAAGGAGGCAAGTAAAATAAGGTTTTGATGTCTACTTATAACGT